GTATTAAAGTGACCAGTTTCTCCTCAAAATGACTATTCCCAGTGTGTGGTTTCTTTTTGTTATATATAGAATAGATTTTGTTTTCATTTATTATTCTTTTCACCAGACTTTCTTATTGGCTTTTCCCTTTCCCAACTAGTTCTAGCCATGAGTATAATGAGAAAAAAAAAGAAATAAGAGTATCTAAGAACCCTAGTCCGGTCTGTAAAATAGAAAAAGAATAGGGAGACAAAGGAAATATTTCAATGTTGTCAAAAGAAGTCACCAAGAAAGTGGGGTACAAAGGAATTAGTGATGTCTTCCATAATATCAGGCACATAATAGGGGATTAGAATACATCTGTTAGAATGCAGCAAATGACTCTAGCATGGGTATTTATCTTGTCTGGACAGTCTACTGATCAGAAAAGAAGTCTGGTATTTGTGAAGTATAGAAGATGTGGCAGATTGCAACAGTTACTCTGATTCTTCACTATTTTCAGTTCTGTAATATCACAATGTCCATACATTTTAGGTGAAATGATAGGATCATTCTTCTATGAAGTGATTTGTTTTGAGCAATGGAAAGTTAACAGATTTGATTCACACATGGGACTTTGAAAATACCAGAATTACTGCCTAACCTATCTCTGATAGGCCTTCTGACCCATGAGAACAAAAACAAATTATTACTGTTTCCAGCTATTAGGTCACGGAATAAGTGTTGTCCATCAATTAATCTGAAACCATATATTTTCTGATAAACCATGCTTGAGAGTAGCCTTTTCTCTTTACTTTAACATTTCAATGATTGTAACAAGCATTGATTTTCCAACATTTTACTAATAATATTGATGAAAATATTAGGTAAAATAAAAATAATGAGGGTAAGCTCAGTTGTTCCCATCATTACAAAAACAACTATTTGTAGTGTTGTATGCAGATAGGATCACTACTGCTGGTGAGAGAGGTAGAATTATCAGAAGTTCAAGGTCATCCTCAGCTACATAGTGTGTTTAGGTTCCCTTGTCTTGAAAAAAAGAGATCAACCTATATAGATACTTACATTCTCTAATACCATAGTCTTCGATAGTCATTCACACAGCAATGGGAAAACATTTTAAATACAAGAAAATGCTCTTGGGCTGGAATGTAATAGAGGGACATGAACAAGTCATTCCTATACACAATGAGGATTTGTTTGTGGCCTCAGTGTCTGAAGGGAAGGAATTCTGCCTAGCCATCATTTATTTCACCTCATCTCAGAATCAGGATCACTAAAACTGTCATTACAATCTTACCTGCTTCATAATGTTATTGAGATTACTGAGAGTAGAGCATGAGTTGGAATATGTAACCTACCTAGAATCAAGCTTGGTATTTTAAGTTGCCATTCAATACTAGTTGTTAAGGCAAACATTAAAATCTAAGGTATAACAACCAGTAAATCTATATGGGTTGAATTCTGTATGTTGGAGTAGCCACCATAAAAGGAATTATGGAAATAAACAACTGCCCTGCAAATGTACTTAGACTTTAAGATCCTCATCTGCATTATCAAGAACTTCAGAATATATTGTTGTTGGGATGCCTTCTAGTTTTTGTTGGGAAGCAGTATCTATGTTATATTGTCTAGCAGCACATATGCCCACAAAAATGAGCATTTAAAATCAAAGTAATTTTTAAGTTACTCTAACGAATTTTTAAGTTACTCTAACGAATTAATTCGTGTGAATTACAGAAGCAAACTTGATACGATTGTTCTCTGTCTATAATAGATTTGAAACTAAAAGGGAATATTATTCTCAGGATTTCTACAATAAATTACTCAGGTCTAACATATATATATATATATATATATATATATATATATATATATATATATATATTATACATACATACACACAGTGAATTGACAGACTGGCCTACAATACCTTAAATCCAATTAGCAACACAATACACAAAGTCTCATTTTCTTTATTTTTAAGCGAAGTTACTGAATTCATGCTATTTGATGTTTTGTATTTCTGATTACAAAGTGCTGTCCCCTGCTGTTTGTTAAAGATTATACCAGTTAGCATCACCAATCCAGAGAGAAATAAGAAACAATTTTATTTTACCCATATGTCTAAACATCAGAAGAAAATAAAATGTGGAAATCTATGTATCTATAGAAGAAAACCACTGTGGTAGCATCATGCCCTTTCTTCCCAAGTCATCTCACTGCACTGACCTTTATTTCTAGATAGGATTTTGATAAGCAGTAATGATGATGGGAAGCATGGGGATGTGACAAGTTACTTACCAGGCAATTATTTCTTCTAAAAGGGATTATGAAGAATCTTACTTAAACACATTCATCTATTGGCCATAATTGACAGTTCTGCAGCATAACTATCCACACTTGTGTGTCTTAGCAACTGAATCTGCATGTGTGCTTTTATGATATTTCCTTTGTTGACTCCTTATTTCAGTTCACTTTAACTAAGGCCACCTTGCAGCAAATACAGAAGTATACAGCAGTGCCATTTTGATTCAGTGTACAAACTCACCTCTGGAGATCCAGCATGATAACAACCTGCGTGTTCATGAAGTATTCTATATGACAAGCTGTTCTCCATGTTTCCAAAACTAGTCATTTATGTGGAACTAGAAGAACTGAAATCAACTGGATCTGAGTTCAAGATTTGGCTGTCATTTACCAAGAATATCACTTGCCATTTCAGTTTGTGTAGCAGGAATCTTATAATGCCTTATTAATAAAAACAAACCTGGAGCCAGGTAATGAGGTGAATGCTGGAAGATCAGAGAAACAGAACAAGCCACAGCTCCTTCACCTCACCAATTCCTCAGGTGATCGTGTTTCCTCAGACGGGGTGCCTCTCAGCTGAACTGTGCTGCTCAAAGCCTAAAAGCTTAACCAGCCAAAAGCTTCTAGTTTCTGGTTTTCACGCCTTATATACCTTTCTGCTTTCTGCCATCACTCCCTGGGATTAAAGGCTTGCTTTCTGGGAATAAAGGCATGAATCACCATGCTTGGCTGTATACTTGAACACACAGAGATCCAGATGGATTTCTGCTTCTGGAATGCAAGGATTAAAGGCGTGAGTGCCACCATTTCCTAGCCTTTGTATCTAGTGGCTGTTCTGTTCTCTGACCCCAGATAAGTTTATTAGGGTGCACAATATTTTGGGGAACACAATACCACCACAAGTTTGACTTCAAAATGTTTCAGGATCTTGTTTGAATATTAAATAGCATGATGTATAGAAGAGGCTGCAAACTACTATACATATATATGATATGTGTATATTATATTATATATTCAATTAGTAACTGATTTTGAATGAAAATGCATGCCAAATAATCAATTCAATGTCTTATAGAGCAAACCAGCAACTGTGGTACTGTAGCTTGCAATGAGAAGCTAAGCAGAAGTGAGAAATCTTTCCAGTTCCAGCTTCCCTATTTAGCATTATTCCCTTTGCTTTATTTGAGAGATTGCTTTGCTCTGAAGGCTGTTAAAGATGTGTAGTAGACATGTAATATACTCCTCTTTGACTAAACAAATATGGGCTACTAGTGTTTGTGAACCGGGCTGTGCGACATCCACTTAAATATAAAAGCATTAGCTCCTCCACAAATTCACATTATATACAAGTTGCAACTACATAAAAGCTCTTAAAAATACTGAGAAGCCATAAGAAATTGTAGCTGAATGTGAGAAAGGATATTTTCCTTTGCAGGTCATGACCTCTGAAATACATATTACAGCTTCTTAATCTTCAAAGAAATGTATAAATATAAAAATGTAAACTTTTGAAGTCCAAAGAAGTAAAGATAGAGTACATTGCATATAGTATATAATATATAAATATTAGTGCAACAAAGAATGGAAAAGAACATTTGGCATGAACTTGGATAAACCTCTGATGTTCCCAGAGTAGCACAAAAGTTCTCTCCTTGTCTTGCTGTCCTGTTATACTTTTCTTTGTCATGATCACACTGTATTTAACTGTGTTTTGAACCCAAGAGTGTATTCTGAGGGCTAGAAAATAAGTAAAAATCAATGCAAAGATCTTTACTGGGAGAAGGTGAAACAGAAATCTTTATTTATCTTCATCTTCTACAAGCATGATCTTTAATAACCATACCTAATTTCATTAGATTCATATCTCCAATAACATGTTTGAGAGACATAAAATAAGTGGCCGTCGCTCATGGAAAGAGCTTTTTGATCATTATATAGTACAGAAGAATGGCAAAATAGATATCTATTCATGTCATTGTTCTATGGTCTGGGTCCCTGCTTCTCAGGAAAGGCAGTGGAGTTGAAATGTGCCAAACGGTCCTCTAACGCGAGTTGATGGAAAAGCCCACATCCAAGAGCAAGGGATGCTGGAATTGAGTTGTCAAGCTGTCCTGAATGTCTTGTACAAACTGAACAGGCCAATTTACTGCAACACTGCATAGGCTGAAGGCTCCTATCTCTGCTTTACACTTGTTTCCTCCTGGAGAGATTACCCTGCTCTCCCATGCTGTCCCTCTCTAGTAGCTGCTGAGCTACCCCGATTCCTCCCGATGAACCAGCTCTTGGTAGGAACGGAGCCTTAATCCCCACCTTGGGACCAGCCTGCTGGACTTCCCAGAGAGCCTCTTACCATCCAATCTGAAATCAAAAGCTTTGTGTTTCTTGATAATTTTGAATCCAGTGATGATTTGATTTAAATGTCTTCTCCTTCATACTTCAAACCTCTTGCCTTTCGGGATGAAAACAGACAAGCTTTAAAAAATAAAAATAAAAATGACAATTCCCATGCAGCCTGAATTTCTTGATTACTAGCCTCGGAAGGCGAGGGGCTGCTTTAAAACGGCGTTCTTCCGACTCTTCCCTCCAGGTGGCAGCAGTGCCACATCTCAGAGTCTCCAATCCCCTCTTCCCTGACTTCAAGTGTTAATGCAATTGACCAATCACTGCTAAGATGATGGGAGGTAATTGGGTAATTGTATTTTACTGATCTCTAGCGGAGAAAGGGAAAGGGAAAGGGGCAAGAAAGAGGGCCAGAGAAGGGGAAGGGACCGCAGTCCGGGTACGCTTTGGGGAGCCTGGACCCTAAGTAAGAGGACCTGGCATTGGTGGAGAGAAAGTCTAGACTGGCAGGCGCTGCCGATCGCTCAGGGAGCGCATTCTTTATCTGGGAAGAGAGCAGAGAGAGGAGAGGGAGAAGGCAGAGTTCACGCCGAAGTGGATGGAAGGGGATCTGGGTTTCCGCGGCACAGAGAGTCGCGAGCCGGGACTATGGCACTGAGACCGGCGCGGAGCAGCTGCGCGCCCGAGGACGCGTCTCCTCGCGGGGGACCAGCGGGCGTCGGGAAAGGCTGCGCACAGAGGAACCAACTTGTGGCTCCAGACCATCCCCAACGCAGCTGGAAATGAGATCAAAGCTGCAGTTTCATTCCAGAAGGATGAGAGGAGCCAGTGATTAGGGATTTTTTTTAACCCTCTTCGTTCCCGTTTCGCTGTTTTCTCCTCCCCCTCCTCTTTTTTTTTCTTTTAAGTATATGTATTTTTTTAATTTTTTTTTTCTTTCTTGATTTATCTAACACCACGTCAGTCCCGTCACATTGCTTTCCCTGTTTGAAATAAAAGCCCAGTCTGAACTTCCACCACCCCGGAGATTCGAGAGCTACGGCCGGCTGATGGAGAAGGGGACACCCGTGCTGGCAGGGGACGCTGGCAAGGGACCGCATCACGAGTCTCTCTGGTGATCCCTGCCCTGATCGCCGAGTTCAGCGATACCTGGAGGACCTGGACCCAGTGCTGTGGGTGGGGGAGGGGACCCAGCGAAAGCCACCCTGAGCCTTAAAAAAAAAAAAAAAAAAAGTAGCTGCTGACCGGGGGCGGAAAGGGGTTTGTTCTTGACAGCTGACGGAGCCTTGAAATTTTCCTCCTCTACCTCCGCCCCCTCCCCCGCCCCCGCCCCCCCGCACTCCATTTAACGTGAGATTATGAAATCGCAGAGGCGGTGGAGGGAAGGCGACGGGATCTAACAGGGAGTTTGGAGGGGCGAGGGGGAAGGTGGCTGGCTGGGTGGCTGAAATCAAAAATCCAATTGCGCACTGGGTTGTGATGAGAAATCTAATCAGATCTTTGACGAAGGGGCCGGCCGGAAGGGTAGCCGGTGGGGGCAGCTGATCCCCAAATTCTCCGAAGGGGAAGCTGGGGAAGGGAATCGAGGATGTAAAGAAAAGACTTTCTTGTTCCTTTTTTCTTTCTTTTCTTTTTTCTTTTTCTTTTTTCTTTTTTTACTCCCCGGAGGAGGTGGCTGTTGGGTGCCTTGCTAAAATGAAGGATGCGGGACGCAGCTCTCTCTTGGAGCAGAAGGCAGAGGATAAACTGATTGTGCCAGAGAGAAGAAAGAATGAAGCTTTTTCTTGTGAGACCTGGATCGTAACATAAATGTGTATATGGCCACACGGGGAGCATTGAGGGGAAAAAAATGAAATAAGCTGATGTCAGACCTGCGGGGTTTGGTGTGTTCTGACATAAATAAATAATCATAAAATAGCTGTCCCCCTCCCCCAAGGATGTTTGGAAATGGAGAACTGGGGATCCACAAAGAAAAAGTGTGTTCATTTTTTTTTTCTTTAAAGGAGAAAGTACGCCAAGGAGATATTTTTGAAATGAAAAGTTTGCGGCTTATTTTAGGAAAGTAAAGACCTGATATATATATATTTTTTTCTGTTTGAATTTCCCACAAGAGGAGAGGAAATTAATAATACATCTGCAAAGAAATTTCACTGAAGAAAAGTTGACGTGGAGGAACGAAGCATTGATTGGGAAAGAAATCAGCAGAGGACTCTTGGATTGCTGCCCGTGTTGACTAAAATTGAAGGATAATTGCAGTTGGATTTTTTTTTTCTTCACCAACCTCCTTTTTGTTTTCTTTTTCTTTTCCTTTTTGATGTCAAGACCATGCATTCTTTCTTGTTCTTAACCACCTGGATTTTCCTCGGGATGTAGCTGTGCTGAGTCTGAAATACAGTGAGTGATCAAAATTTTCTTATTTATTGGTGAAGAAAATGTTCATTAATTTAGTGTTCTGATTTTCTCCCCTCTCCCTCCCCCTTTCCTGTGGTTTTCAAGGACCCGGCTATTGGGAACAAGAAAATGAGGAACAGGGTGGCCCACGCAGTTGTTCCCTCAAGCTGTGCTCACTGATAAGCTGGACGGCTATAATGATGCAGGTTGGCTGCATTCTAGGCAAATGCCTTTGCAAATGTTCGGTATGGAAAAAAAAAAATCTCTCCATGAAAGCCCACTGCAGTGTGGGGTGCTGATGCAAGTGATTGACACTCTAGAATGCATTTAAGTTACAAGGAAGCCCCAGAGTTAGAAGCACAAATGTTGGTTATTGGAAATCGAAGGGACCCGATTTAAATTTCATTATCCAGCCTGACACTGCAGATCAACAGAATGTATTAACACAAAACTATGATACTAAAGAAGGTGAAGGATGGCTTCTGGCTAGTCGGGAGGAGGGCAGTGAGGGAGGGAATGGCAGAGCAGAGGAAGTGGGAGAGCACAGGCTGCTCTTCTACAGGCTCCAGCACCCCCTTATCTGAATGTGGTCCTTGCACCCCTGGGGTCTTCAGTGGTAGAGCTATGACTGAAACAAGAAGGACCACTTCATTCCACCCCTCATAACTTAAGAACCCCTTCCATCCCAGAGAACCTGCATACAGATTGTAGAGAACATGGGTGTTTGGTGTGGTCTTTATCAAGAACTCTCCAGACACCACTGAGAAACAGCTCTTGAGAAAAAGGCAGACATTTAGCATCCTTTGGTAACTTAGAAAAGAAGACCAAAGGAAAAAATGTGTGAGTGGAGCACCAAAGCTCATCCCAAGACAGCTTTGCTTTGAAGGAAAGAAAGCAGTGAAAACAAAAATTAAGTAAATAATAAATAAATAGAAGAGAATGTTGCGAGAGATTTGAGAGACACGGAGGCCTAAGGGATCAATCACCTCACCCTTTCCCCACTTCTGGCAGGACCTTGGAGCTTGCCTGCTGTACAGAATGGTCCCACCCCCACCCCTGACACTCTTCTGTGTTCTTCCCTGAAGCCTTCTATTAGAATCATGAACTCATGTAACTTTAGAGCCAGGTCAGATATTACATGCCAACAAAAGAGGAAACTGAGGCTGAGAGAAGCCATAATTATTTGGTTAGTGACCAAACAGCCTGAGACAGGTGACTCACATAAGCCTCAGAGAAGCAGACAAGTTTTGAATCCAAACTAGGAGAGAATCTGGCACACATAGGGTGATCACAGCTGCCATTTTTATTTAGAGATGAAAGAAAGGCACAGTGGTCTAGAGAAGGTGAAGTAAACTTCTGCCAGTGTAGATATTAAGAGTCATAGGTATCAACATCCCTCCCCTCCTCCCCCTTCCCCTCCCATCCCTTTCTCTCCCCTCTCTTCTCCCCTCCTCTCCACTCCCTTTCTCCTCTGCTCCCACCCTCACTCTTTTTGTTGTATGGTTCACAAAACTCTGGCTTTAAAGTATTTGAAATCCCTGAAGACCCACAAGTCTGAAATATCCCAAAGGAGATGGAAGGCAGCTGCCTCCTGGGTACCCTGTGAGTGCTGGGCACGTTTACTGCTATGAGTGGTAGACTCTAGAGAGTCATTAAGGAACTGTGGAGTTGGATTTATGTTAGAGAGGTGATAATAGAAACCAGAAACACCCTGCTAATAGCATCCAAGTCTGTTCTTTTGCTGCCATCATCTGCTCCTCTCCTCTCTCTTACTCCTGAACTGAGGTAGCATACTGCTCAGCACTTCCCTAATTTAGTTTTCTGGGCACATGTTTTCTGTTGGGACACACAGACACTGTAGGAATTTACCAACCTATGAAAGTGCAAGACTTTTTTCTTCCAGATCTCTATACAGACTTCTGCATATTTTACCATTCCCTCC